GGAAGATTCAGAGGTTTACAAAGATTTAAGGGTCTACAAAGGTTCACTGGCCTACTGTATCAGTAAAGCTTTTAGGATCTAGTTGCCTGGGATGTCTCCTACAAGTAACAGATCTAAATAAATGATTGCCCCTTGTGCCTTCTACTATGAAGAAACATGCCTGCTACATTTTTTTGGCTTCTGAAAGCAAAGCCTGTCACCCTTAGGGCTTCTTTCTGGACTATCTGGACTATATACTGAAGGCATGAAAGGTGAAAGGCCGCCAATTTTGAGATGAGGCCTGAAGCAGGAAAGGGTTCTGCAGCTGGTGCAGTATCAGGTATTAATGCTGCCTTTTTCTTTTTTACAAGGCCTGGGTAGCCTGGTGGATTCTGGCATTAGAGGCATCTGCAATGTGATGTTCATTGTAAGTTCTAAATGGTAAATTGCAATGGCACCCCATGTTCTGGAGTAAGATCATGATGTGTGGGGGAAAATTCTAGATATTTGGTAAAAACAGCTCCTGGCATGGTAAATTACATGGAATGTCTGATCATAGGAAACCAAGTAAGTATAAGAACTGCCTATCACAAGTTTGGACAAAAGGCTAAAAATAGCAACAGTTGACTTTAAAAGAAAGTGTACATTCAGAATCTACCATAAACAGGGTCCCAGGACACAGCAAGCTACAGGGGAAAGGAGGCCAGCTTGCAGTGCCTTCATTAATGTTGCACTAGTGTTTCTCATCCCACCTTACGCTCACGGTTGCATGGCAATTCCTTATGACCAGCTTGTAACAGGAAGGACAAAAAGCCAAGCTTATTTCACGGATGAGCAGCTTGAGAGGCAAATGAAAGTCAAAAACAGATGGATTCTGTGCTCCAGCTAATTTCATATGGATGTGAAAGAGGACAGCAATGGGACTTCTTTCTTGGGCAACAGCTAGGCTGCTTGCTTGCCACAAGATCAATGCTGATATCTCTGATGAAGTGAGAGCTGTGTTCTTTTCCAAATATGTGAGGCTGGAACGGCAGGTAACACCTCAGTATGTGACTGTATTTGGAGATGGGGTCTTTAAAAAGTAAAGTTAAATTGAATCATTATGACTCAATGGGCCTGGTCCCATGGACTAGAAGAGACACAAGGAATGTGTACACAAAGAAGAAAGGCCACTTGAGGATACTTGGTGAGAAGATAGCAGTCTGCCAAGGCGAGTGCTCTGGGAAAATCAAATCTACCTGGACTGTAGTCTACACAAGGATAAGAAAACTCAAAGACTATCCAAGAAGACCAAGTAGACTGCATTAAGTTCCTCTGATCCTAGAAAGGGCAGTCATTTATTTTGGTAAGAAGCAGACCAGTACTGTCACATATTATATTTCATCAGCCCTTGGACTTATTATTCTAACAAAGAAAGTATATAGGAGTACATATGAGGCATGAAATCCACTGTTAATAGGACATACTATACCACTCAAGCTGTCAGCCTGGCAGAAAAATGCAATAACCTTTTGTAGGCACCATTAAAGAACCAGTGCACAGGCACTACCTTGTAAGCATGTAGTATAATCCACTGGAGTGCTGTGTATTCTTTAAGTCAATGGCTTGTCTATGGTGCTGGGTTCCTGACAGTCATTTTAGGGTACAAGCCAGAATTTCTCCTCTGACCATCATTCCCAGTGACTTATTTGGGGAACTCTCCCTGTCCCTGATACTATAGGCTCTCCAGGTTTATAGGGACAATGTTTTCTCCAGGGCATCCTGATAAAAAAAATTAGCTATGGATACAATGTTAGTCAAGAGTCAACCTCAAACTGAGAAGCCATCATGTAGGCAGGAGCAATTAATCCTAATCATTAGGAGAAAGTCTAGCTTCTCTGACAAAGTTGTGGACCAGCAGCAACATTTGGTATGGAAGAGGTTTGTTTGAGAGCCTTTTGGCATTCTTATTTAATTTTGATGGTACATTGACAAACTCAGCAATCACTGTTTGGAAAAGACATGGAAACTAGGGCTCAGAAGTACTGTGCATGAAGTTCTGGGTCATGTCACTAAGGATGCTCCAAGACCAGAAGTGAGAGCAATCTAGAATAGATGGTAGAGGAAAAAAGTATGTATATAATAAATACAACATATATGGTAAATATGGCAAAAATGTTAACAATTGTCTATTTCAACTTTTCAGTAGGTTTGAAATTTTTTCACTCTTCACAGACAAATGAAGTTTCAATATTATCAAACAGCAATAAACGTGGTCAAGTATGGTAAGGACTGAAAAGTGTGCCTCTGATTTAGCATCAGAAATGTCCCTAATAAGACAGGTGCTAGTGGCTCATAACTAAAATCCTAGCTACTCAGGAAGCTGAGATCTAAGGATCCGAGTTCAAAGACAGTGCTAGTAGACAAATTCTTGAGACTCTTATCTCCAATTAATCAGCAAAAAGCCAGAAGTGGAGTTGTGGCTCAAGTGGTAGAGCCCAGCCATGAGCAAAAAAGCAAGTGTGTAAGCACAAGGCCCTGAATTTAAGCCCCAGTTTCAGCAAACACACACACACACACACACACACACACCCAGTTTCAGCACACACACACACACACACACACACACACACACACACACACACACACACACACCTTGATAATCTTGGGGCATCGATAGAGTAAAGATAGGCATATTCCCATATTCCCACCTACTACCTTGTTTCTTCTCTGCAGATTATTTGGCTGATCTACCATGTTTTCCGGTCTACTGAGTTTTCATAAATTTGTAAAAACTGATTTTTATGCTCAATGTTCTGGAATATTTCTTGTAGAAAGGATATAGAGCTACTCAGAAGCACAAATATTGGTGAAACCACATAAACTCATGTACTAAATCATTATTAATAGGGACAGAAAGGCACATTTAAGAACAAAGTAAATCAGCAATCACAACTTGGCTCGAGCCAAACTAAATTCAGATTAGTCATCTAACCTATGAAATTACTTATGCTTGTAAATTAAAGCTTGTAAAAGCTGGGTGTCTGTGGCTCATGCCTATAATCCTATCTACTCAGGAGGCTGAGGTCTGAGGATCACAGTTCAGTCAGCCTGGGCAGGAAAGTCCATGAGACTCTGACTTCTAATTAAACAGAAAACCAGAAGAGGCCCTGTGGCTCAAAGTGGTAGAGTGCTAGCATTAAGCAGAAAAAGCTCAGGGATAGTACCCAGGCCCTGAGTTCAAGCCCCACTACCAACAAAATAAATAAAAGCTTGTAAATTCCATGCCACCCCTGGCCTGGTGTAAGCTTCGGCACCCTCCCTCCCCCCAGTTACAGGGGAGGCTGAGGGCAGGGAATCACTTGAGCCCATGAATCAGAAGCCAGCTGGACAATATAGCATGACTGACTCAAAAAAAACAAAGCAAAATTTTTTTTCCCAATATTTAAAAATGTTCTTTATCAGAACATCCCAATTTCAGGCATCATCAAAAAAGACCTGGCAATATTCTGCTAGAGCTAGAAGGGTCTGCTGCAGGCAACCAGGCCTTCCGGCAACTTTAGGTGAACAGGATACAGTCAATGTCATGCATTTTGATTAGTATTTAGCTAGGAAATCGAGTTCCTCACATCCTGGTTAGGTCACAGTGGCTGGCAATGTTTGTGGAACAATGACGTTTTACCTTTTACTGGAAAAGGACTATGAGATGAGGGCAGTTTATAGCATGCACTTCAACCTTTTTTTTAAATATATATTTATTATACAGGACTCTAAACATTCACACACAGTGACACCAAAGGGAGGATACTTTGGGGGGGTTACACAAATGTGCAATGCCTCAGTGCTTCTGATCATATAAAATATTGATTGAAATGAATTGTTTTAAAAAAAGAAAATATTGGGGAGGGGGGGCTGGAGGAAAAAACAGAGAAAATGAGGGAAGAGGTGAGGTGACACTGTTCAAAAGGAAATGTACTCAATATCTGACTTATGTAACTGTAACCCCTCTGTACATCACCTTTACAATAAAATCGTTTTGTTTTTCATTTTATGTTACTGTAAAGATGCTGTGCAGAGGACAATTGTTTTTAAAAGAAGGAAATATTGGGGCTGGGAAGGTGGCTCAGTGGTAGAGCACTTGCCTTGCATGCATGAGGCCCTGGGTTTGATTCCTCAGCACCACATAAGAAAAAAGCCAGAAGTGGTGCTGTGGCTCAAGTGGTAGAGCGCTAGCCTTGAGCTGAAGAGCTGAGGGACAGCGCCCAGGCCCAGAGTTCAGGCCCCACGACCGGACCCCCTCCCGCCCCCCAAAAAAGGAAATATTGATCTTGGCTGTTGCTTTGGGGGTGGGGGTCATTACCACAGAGACGTTCTCCCCCCCCCCCCCGCCCCGTTCCAGCTGTAATGCGATGACTGTTGAAAGACACGCTAAACCGAGTGGGGTTTTGTTTTGTTTTTCAGACAGGATTTCACTACGTGGCCCAGGCTGACCTCGAACTCCAAGATCCTCCAGCCTCAGCCTCTCCAGTGAACAGCTTGTTTTTTAATTCATGCACTAGCTCCCTCCTTGGACCCCCTGAAACACAGACGGCGGCCCCCCTCTCATTTCGACGCCCCCACCCTGCCATCCCCCCCCCACCCCCCCGAGGGACCCCAGCAGCACCTGCTTGTCCCAGAGCTCGGCCACCAACTGCGTTCAGCCCGTCCGTTTCCGGTTGCCTTCCCAAGGCCGGAGAATCGATACCGAAACGCTCGCTCTGCTCCCACGGGGCGGAGCTTCGGCCTCGGCGCTCTCGGGTTTCGTCTGGTGCTGCCTCGCTCCGGCGGCCTTCCAGCGGGAGGCGGAGCGAGCCCAAAATGGCGGCTCTCAGGCTGGCGCGCTCGGTGCTGCCGGGGCTTTGAGGTGGTCGCCTCTGAGGGTCGGGGTTGGGAGGCGGGAGAGGGCCGGTGTCCCCGCCGCGGGGCGCGGGGCGGAGGGGGCCCCCCCTCCCCCGAGGATGAACCCGAGGCTCCGCTGAGGCCCGGCGGCGGGGGGCTGGAGCGCGGCGTCCGCGAGGGCTGCGGCGGCGGCGCCCGTCCACGCAGCGGGATGTGCGAGAGTTACTCCCGGTCGCTGCTGAGGGTCTCGGTGGCGCAGATCTGCCAGGCGCTGGGCTGGGACTCGGTGCAGCTCAGCGCCTGCCACCTCCTCACCGACGTGCTGCAGCGCTACCTGCAGCAGCTGGGCCGGGGCTGCCACCGGTACTCGGAGCTCTGTGAGTACCGGGCTGGGTGCGGGAGGGCTCGCCGTGACACCTCCGCGGCGCCCACCCCTCCGCGGCGCCCCGTCTCCCCCCTCCCACACACACACACGCAGCCCCGGGCCGGCCCGAGCAAACTCCACGCATCCCCGGGGCGGCTCTGCCTCGCCCGCTAACTTCCCGCCACCGGCCCCCCGCGGGAGCCCCGGGCCGGGGCTCCGCGCCCTCCCCTCCCGTCCGCCGCGCCGAGGTGCGCCCGGGGATGGGGTGCGATCTTCATTGTCCGCCGTCTGAGGGGGACGGCCTCCCCCCCCCGACTCCTCCGGATCCCTCCTCACCCGGTCCTCACCTGGGTCCCCCCCCCTTCCCGCCCCCCTCACCACCACCACCCCCCCTCCATCCCCGTCGCCCGCCAACTGCTACACGAGTTGTCACCGGCGCTCCGTCTTCCGGCCGTTTCTGACTGGACGGGGCCACCCCCGAGCTCCCGGCGGCCGCCCCGTGCCCACTCACTCGTTGACAGCTCCTTCCTGGACTGGCCTGCCCTCCCCTCGCTCTTCTTTCTGCATCTGTTCCCCGGTCGCCAGACAGCAGCTCCGCTCAAACTTGCTCCATCGCTGCTGGGGGTTTGGGGTTGTTTGTTTTTTTTTTTTTTCCTGTCGCTTTCGCTGCTTAAGAGTCACTTTCAAGTCACTTTCGCTTGACTCCTCCTCCCCCCTCGTCAGTGCTCATCCGAACATAGTTAAGGGGGGGGGGGGCTCACACAGGTACTTTGCTACTTCCTCGAGGTAAAGCTGGGCCGCGGCGTACGGGTGGGGGGGATGGCTTTCACGTGTAACCGGCCGTGGGTGGTCCTGGGGAAGACTTGAACAGCTGCTCACCCTGTGCTTAAAGGGGCTTTCGCATCGGTGCGCGCGCCTGTGTGACTGTGATGGGGAGGGCACCGTTCATTCAGATGTCAGCTTAGGAGCGTAAGTTGATGAAGTGTTTTCATAAAATGCTTGGTTCTGTGGCCGAGTGCTGGCCGCTCTCACCCGTGACCCCAGCCACTTAGGGAGGCTAAGAGCTGAAGGTTGAAGGTTGCAGTTCAAGACCAGCCTGGGCAGGATAACCTGTGAGGTTCTATCTCCAGTTACCCCTCAAAAAGCTCCAGAAGTGGAGCTGTGGCCCAAGTGATTGAGCTCCAGTTTTGAGCAAAAATGTTAAGGGACAGTGCCCAGGCCCCAAGTTCAAACCTCAGCACTAGCGCGCGCGCACACACACACACACACACACTTCGTTTTGTTGAAGCAGCTTCTAGATTAAAGACCCGAAGCCAGGCACAAGTAGCTCCCACCTGTAATCCTAGCTACTCAAGAGACTGAGATGTTAGGATCACGGTTCAAAACCATCCCAGGCGAGAAAGTCTGTGCGACTATTACCGCTAATGAACCACAAAAGGCCAGAAATGGAGCTGTGGCTCTAGTAGGTAGGGGCCCAGGGGCCCGTGATCAAGCCCCAGGATCTCCACATCCCCCCCCCTCCCCCCAACCACACACACTCACACAAAGTTTGAAATACAGTACTTACAATTCCATTTTACTGCCAGAGTAATCTGTCCATAACACAGATGGGATCATATGCACAGCACAAATCTGAACCTGTCATTCTTCTGAAAAATACTTCAGTTGCACTCAATTTGTTATAGCTAATAGTCTAAACTTTTAAATCACACATTTCCCTTTGTAAGCTAGCATTTTTCTTATCTTCTCCTACCCTGCCATACTAATCTGCCACCATGCTGAGCTACCTGCCTTTCCAAAACATCTTAAGCCATCTACTCCTATATGCATGCTGTTTCTTTGAGTGTCTTGCACCCTGGTCCACTGTACTGCTTATATTTTGATACTCTTATCATCGGCTCTAAGGAACTCATGTTGTCTGCTCTTATAATTCGGTTCATGTTTCCCATATGTTATTTATCACCTTGTTTTGTAATTGTTCATGTATGTCTGTGTTCTGTAATCTTGTAAAAGGCCAAAATACAATAAGCATTGAGGAAATACTTGTTGAATAAATGAACTGATAATCCACTACTATAATAACTATTTATTTACTTCACTTTTTGAGTTCCTAAAATCTTTGAAGCATCTTTTGAATGCTTGATTTCCCCGATACCACTAATTGGGATCTTTAAAATAGAGTTCATTCATTAGTATCTTGGAAGTATACTATTGGTGAAATATTCTGTCTTTTGCATTTTTCCTTCAGGTTCCCCCTCTGTGGTCTTTAAGTATATTGTTACCATTATGGGTAGTCCAGATTATAATTTTGTTACCTTGTTTTCTAAATAAAGACAGGTGCTGTGAACCTTTAGGTATATGAAATATCCTCTGAATACTTAGTTACATTTTATGCCTTCTACACAGAGCCAGAGTATGAACTAGCAGTTCATAGTCATCAGTGGTTCACTGTAGTACCTTAGTGTGAGCCTGCCTTCTAGCTACCCATTTTATTGATCAGTTTTCTTGGATTTAGTGTGAATGTGATTGATTATCATGTTCATCGTTCCCATATGTGGTTTGATGACTTTTGAGAAGTTTAACTGTATGTATTTGACAGACATTCTTAGGTTATATTTCTGACATGTCATTTTAAAATTGAATTTTGTAACCTGAGGTTACTATTTTGCCATCTTATATTCTACCCATTTATATATTTTTCGTCTTTTTGACAGTTGCTTTGTGGGTACTGGCCTTTAACTCAGGGCTGCAAGCTTGCTTGGCTTTTTTGCTCATGACTGGTGCTATACCACTTGAGCCACATGTCCTGCCCAGCCATTTCTGATTAATTATTAGTACAGTTTCTCTTATTTTTCTGGATGGGCTGACTTTGAATCTTGGTCCTCTGAATCTCAGTCTTAGTAGCTAAAATTGCAGGCATGAGCCACTGGCACCCAACTCTTTTTCTTGTAATAAGAACACTTATGAACTCAGCCCTGTGCTGGGTGATATAAAATTACTAAGATGCAATCTCTGTCCACAGCGTGTGTACAAGGGAATCAGAATGTTAACACAAACTAATGGCATCCAAAACTAATATTCTCAAGTATAAATTCAACAAACAATGAATTAAAAATTTTCCTCAGTTAACAATTTCTTCAAGTGTTCAGAGGCATATATTTTGGTGTGCATAGAAATTATATTACATATGTGTCCAGGTACTGAAAGCAATCATACCTTTTTTAGAATGACCTTTTAAAACTAGATCTGTAACTTGATTATTGCATGGTACTAACAGTTAATATGAAAGGAGTAAGATAAAGGAGAGATGTTTGTGGGCTCTGGATTCTAGGATTACTTTAAAGAAAAGTAATCTGTTGTTAGAGAATTCTAATTCTAGGGTAGAGAATAGGGTAAAATAAATGTCCAAGTAGAAGTAATAAAAGTACCACTGAAGTAGCCAGCTTGACATGTATAGCTAGTTCATTGGAAGGATATTCAAGGAAAGTGTGCAAAAGTATGAAATCAGGTTGTTGAAGGAATTAAAGTCTTTATTGAAGTAAAACATGTGAGTTATGGTGCCCATCTGTAATCCAAGCATTAGAGAGGCTGAAGCAGGAGAAGCTCTCAGGTTTGAAGACAGCCTGGACTATATAGAGAGACCCTGTGGGGGAAGAGGAGACAAGAAAACAAACTTGAAGGCTGGGCTCCATGATAGAAGCAAGCAAGCAGGAAGCTCTTAGTTCAAACCCTGGGGCTGCAAAAGAGAAAAATAAAGTAAAAAGAAGTAAAATGGGGGTAGAAAACATTTTGTGCCCCTAAGTAGGGGAATGCTGTGATGAAGATGGTAATTTAAGAAAGTTATACTGGCATGCCAGAGAGATTCAAGTGGGAAGAACTTAAAACTACAGTAGTAATCTGCCTAGATTTGCCATCTACAACTTTAGTTAAACTTGGTCTGAAAAAATCCATCTTTTTTTTTTCCTTCTTGAAGATAGTGAGAATTGAACTCAAGACCTTACAGTTGTGAAGCAGGAAGAACAAAATAAAAACGGTGTCTTAAACAACTTTAATAACTCATTGTGATTTTCTGTTATTCTGTTTTTGGGTTTTTTGTTGTTGTTATTATTGGTGGTGGTGGTGGTGGTTGTGGGGCTTGAACTTGGGGCTTGGGTGTTCTCCCTGAGCTCTTTAACTCAAGGCTAGTGCTATACCACTTTGAGTCATAATGCCATATCTGGTTTTCTGATAGTTAATTGGAGATTAAAAAAAAAAAATTCCTGCCTGGGCTTTGAACTATGATCTTTAGATCTCAGCCTCCTGAATAGCTAGGATTATAGGAGTGAGCCACCAGCACCTGGCTGTTATTGTTAATCTCTTACTGTGCCAATTTATAAATTAATCCTTATCATAGATATGTTAAGTACATGACAAGCAGAGTATGCATAGGTCTCAGGTATCCACTGGGGATCTTAGAACACTGTCTCCAGTAGGTGAGTGGTGACCACTCTGTACTGATGTGGCCATAGTAGGAGTAACAGAGATAGAAGAAAGTCTGAAATCTGTGGCAAGAAAAAAGCAGGGGGGCTGTAAAGCATAGAGAAGAATTCAAGATTCTACTTTTTTTTAGACTAAGAGAATAATATTAGAAGAGTTCAGGTTCCATGGTAGCCTATCTGCCTAGCAAGTGCAAATCCCTGAACTCAAATCCCATTGCTACACAAAATCAGTAAGAGTTGAAATATGATCCATGTTCAGTAAGATGGAGAATATCTTTTTTTCACCTTGTCGAATTCACTTGTAGAAAAATTATTATAAAAATTTAGAAGTGATCATCCTGCTTCAGCCATCCCAGCCTCCTGTACTATATCTTCCACAATTAATTTGACCATATATCCTTTGAGATTTTTTTTTTTTTTTGAGACAGGGTCTTACTACAGAATCCAGACTGACCTAAAAATTTTGATCCTCCTGCCTCAGCTTCCCAAATGCTAGGGTACCAGTTGTGTACCACCATGCCCAGCATCCATCCAGACTCTGTCCCTGTGAGCTTGTGCACATCTACCTCTTACCACATTTGGATTTTCTTTTACATTTTACAGTGTGATTTAATTTCAGACATTTTGTATTATACTTTTTGTCGTTTTGATACAAATAACTGAGAGAGACAGTTCAAAGGAGGAAAGACTTGTGGTTTCATTCCATGGGCAGCTTGTACCATGCGGTAGCCCTGAAGTGTGGCAGACTATCATGACATTGAGAACATATAGCCAAGTGAAGTTAGTTGTTCACCTAATTATGGTCATGAGGCACAGTGAGAGACAGTAAGGGGCTAAGGACAAAATAAGCTTTAGAGGCATGCTCCTCTCAAGATTGGACATACCAGCCCGAGACCCAGTTTTCAAAACATGAGCTTCTTGAGGGTACACCACATATCTTAAGTATAACTCCAATTTTGAAGGGACCAAAGGGAATTTCAGTTAATAAAAACATCCTGATAGGTTCATGCTTGACATCCCACCTACTCAGAAGGGTGGGATCAGAGGATCATGGTTCAAAGTAAGCTCATGCAGAAAAGGGCACATGACTCCATTTCCAATTAACTAGCCAGAAGCTGGAATGGAGGTGTGGCTTAAGGGGTACCATAGTGCCAGCCATGAGTAAGCAAACTCATCAAGGGCTGAGTTCAATCCCCAGAACAGGCATGTATACGTATATGAGTATGTGTGTGTATTTGTGTATATGTGTGTACATATATACACACAGATAAGTAATATGATACTCCAAAATTTATTTTTTTTTACAGTGACTAGGTTTTAAGTAAGTTATTTAATTCTGAACTATTTACTTAATATCTTGTTTTATTTTGTTTTTGTTTTGGTTGGTTGTGGTGCCTGAACTCTGGGCCTAGGCACTGTCCCTAGCTCTTCGGCTCAAGGCTAGCACTCTACACTTGAGCCACAGAGCAACTTCCGGCCTTTTCTATTTATGTGGTGCTGAGAAATTGAACCCAGGGCCTCATGCATGCAAGGCAAGCACTCTACCACTGAGCCACCTTCCCAGGCCCTACTTAATATCTTTTTCCTAACATGTTTTGATTGTTCATAGGATTTTCCTAAAATGGATTGATTTCATTTTAACTTGTTTCAGATGGCCGAACAGACCCAATTTTGGATGATGTTGGTGAAGCTTTCCAACTTATGGGGGTCAGTCTGCATGAACTAGAAGACTATATTCACAATATTGAACCAGTCACCTTCCCACATCAAATTCCTTCATTTCCTGTTAGCAAGAACAATGTACTTCAGTTTCCTCAGCCTGGAAGTAAAGATGCAGAAGAAAGAAAGGAGTACATTCCTGATTACCTACCACCCATTGTGTCTTCTCAAGAAGGTTTGTGGTTTGCTCCTCATATATTAGTGTCTTTGAATGAATTTTTAATCTCAATTGTCTGTGCGCTGCTTACATTTAAATTGTAGAAATGCAATCAAAACATTTTAATGTTGTTTACAAATTATTCTAACCTTTAGTCTGACAAACTTGGAACTAGTATTACCAGGCAGGGTCATGGCATCAATATTCTGTCTGATGGGGCGTTTATGCCCTTTGCAGCTTTTAAATTAGGGAGAACTGAATGTGACCACAGAAAGGCCTTTCCATAAAATGGAATATTTAGTGATTTGAACACCTTTGAAACAAAAGGGAAAAATGGAGTTTTCCTTCGCCCTTATTATATTACTAATGTGAGTTGAATGCCATTGCTGTCTACTGGCATGAGTTGAGAGTACTCACTGGTATTATTATGCAGACTTGTCTCTGTTATTTTGTGTGTGTGTGTGTGTGTGTGTGTGTGTGTGTGTGTGTGTATTTATTTGTATATTTGGGTACTGGGGCTTGAATGTGGAGCCTCATGTTCTCACTTGACTTTTTCACTCGGGTCTGGTGCTCAACCACTTGAGCCATTCCTCCACTTTCAGCTTTAGATTGGTAAGTTGAAGTAAGAGCCCCATGGGCTTTCTGTCTGGGATGGCTTTGAACCTCAACTTACTGACTTGCTAGGATTACAGACATGAGTTACCATTCAGTTTCTGTCTCTATAAGTTTGTCTACTCTTTCAGTTCCTCTTTGATAAGTAGGATCATACAACATTTGACTTGATAGTTGATTTCACTTAGCATATTGTCTTCCAGGCTTATCCATGTTGGAACATTGTCAGAATTGCCTTTTAAAGACTGCATAATCCAATATAAAATGTACATTTCACATGTTTATTTGTTAATGTTTCTCCATTTCGGCTTTTGTGTATAATGCTATTATGAACATTGGTGTGTATACATATGTCTGTTTGAGTCCCTGTTTTTGATCCTTTTGGACATAAGTCCAGCAATGGAATTGCTGGATAATTGCTAGATAGTATCTACTTTTGTTTATTTGTTTAGGTGTTAGAGATTGAATCCAGGGTTTTGTACATGCTGAGCACATGCTCTAGCACTGATTGTCTCTTCTAGCCTTTAATGTTGAGGAACCCCTTACGCTGTTTTCCATAACAGCTGTCATCATTTTACCTTCTCAACAGCAATGCCCAAGTGTTATATTTCTTACAGTTCATCTTTTAAGTATCATGTTCCACTTTACAAGCATTTGAAGTGTTAACCTGTTTGTTTCATGGGCACCATTTAAACTTGGAATACATGGTTTTATAAGCTGTGTTTTCATGTTACCTCATAGGAAACACTGAGTAAATGATGAACCTAAGCTGTAGATCATTGTTGTGAACTGGTGAATCATCACTGAGCTCAGGGCTTTGGATGTAGAAGACACTATTGAATAGTAGTAGTGCTGTAATTCAATGTGCTGAAGATGAAGCACTGTATCTGTGCTTGTCATTAGCCATGGTTGATAACAAGAGACTCACTATAATCTTCTGGAAAGTTACCAATCTTCTCTTATTTGAGACTGTTGGAATAGACGCTGTTTAGTAACTTAGCACTTCTCCACTTCAGGTTTTGGAGATTAATACTGACTGTCAGGAATCATGTTCAATAGGACCTATGATGGTGTTTGCAGCAAAATATACATTCAGCAAATGATTTTGAACTTATAAAACACTAGTTGTAGGGTCTTGGCTATAGAAGTTTCTTGTTTCTCCTTCTACCCAATTGTCCTTATCAACAGAAGATCTTGGAAATCTACAGATTCACCTCAGTCACTCAGTCATGCTGAACTTCCCTTAATAATGGCTTAGTTTTCTGCCCTCATGCCCACCTTTGAATTCATTCATAGGTAAGGCCTTTATTACCTGTCAGGAAATCTTTTTGTTTATATCTTCCTATGTAAAATTGTCCTCTTTAAATCACTTCCCTAATGTCAGTGTTTTTTATCTTAAAACTCCAGTTCAATTTTAAATAGACTGTACTTACCTTAAAAATATAACAATTTATAAGAAGGATTTCTTTATACATAGAGGCCTGGTTTGGACTGAAAAGAACTTTGTTTTCTTTAATAAGGGAGGCTGGGAATGGCAAGTGTTTAGAGAATTTCTTTCCTTGTCTTTAAATATGATTTGTTAAGCATCTTAGTTATCTTTACCGAAATAGGACTATATTCTCAACCTGTAATACATCTGCTTCAATTTTGATGATTATTCCTTGTATGGCTCTGAAAATTTTAGCTCAAAATATAAATACTTTTGTGTACACAAAATTTCTAACTGTGCTAAAGAAAAAAATGAATAGAAATCAAATCTAGAAGAAAATTTGAAGCATTACAGAGCAAGAAACTAAAGAAAAGTTACTATATAAATGCTTCAATGCACTTATATATTAAGTGCATCAGTTAATTTACAGTGATATGAGATCACTAGTTTTCCATCTGTGAATTAAACAGTGATCAAATTTAACAGCTATAATTTATGTGCGTTATTAAATGGTGTGGCTGTGAGCTAGAATTGTCTTCTCCATGTTAAAAAATTGAGCCTAACCAGTGCCTCCTACCTGCAATCCTAGTTACTCAGGAGACTGAGATCTGAGGATTGCGATTCAAAGCCAGTCAAAGAAGGAAAGTCCATGAGACTCTTAACTTCCAAGTAGCCACCAAAAGGCTGGAAATTAAACTTGTAGCTCAAGTGGTAGAGTGCAGGCTTTGAGCAAAAAAGCTCAGGGAGCTTGCCCAGGCCCTGAGTACAAGCTCGAGGTCTGGCACCAGTAAAACAAACAAATAAATTTTAGTCCATATTCTTTGTGATTTTTGGAGCTTTATAAATATTTTATGGTTTCTATGTTTAATAATTGAGTTTTTAAATAACTTAGTTTTGGCTTTGAACCTTGATTTTCAGATCTTAGCCTCCTGAGTAGCTAGGATTACAGGTGTGAATCTGTCACCAGTGCCAAGCTAAATGTTGTTTCTTATTTCAGCTAATCTGTATTATATGAGGAACAGAAACACAACACATAGATATGGTTCATGAGGGTATAATAGATGATGGTATATTAAGGTATTTATCAAACCCTTTCCTATGCTTGAAAAGGTTATAGAATGTAATTCTGTAGTTTCCACTTTTCTAATATAGCTACACCATTAAGTTAATGAATATTTCCCACCTGAATATTTTTTAATGGGTGGAGCATGTTGGAAAGTTGCTAATATCCTGATCAGTGGTGCAATCTGGCATGTACAGAGGTCAAGAACTTTGTCAAGACATTGTTCACCAAGTTCTTTATTAAACTTGTTCAGAGTCAGAGTTCTGAGTGCTATGGTACATATGTTACAGTAAATGTTCTGAGTGCTATGGTACATATGTTACAGTAAATGCCTGAAGTGGTTTCATGCGTAGTAAAAAAAAAAACCAAAAAACAAAAAACAATAGAATGGATTTAATAGAATCATTCAGATGTGATGAACTTTATGAAGTTTATTGTTTTCCCAGGTATTGTTTTTTTTCTGAACTTAAAATTCATCTCCTAAAAAATACTGTCTACTCTATTGATGTTAAGGATAATTAAGGATGCAGTTTGTAAGACATTTGTGTAAAACAGAACAGTGCTTATTAACACATAAAACTTCATCCTCATTCTGAAGGAATATTCCTATTAATTGAAACACAATATATATTGCTCAAATCACTACAATGATAGTAAGTGTAAAACAGTACAACCAGCACTTGCTTAGGAATGGAAGGAGCACAACCTAACAGTAGCAATTGGAGAAGCTGTTTGATTATCAGCAATGGGAAGATGATCAGAGAGAAGATGACATAGAAGTTCTTGCTTGCTATATTTTACTACAGGTGTAGAAATGAGGCTTCTTTGAGGAAGTGGCGCTGTGGCTCAAGTGGTAGAGCGCTAGTCTTGTGCAGAAGAGCTGAGAGACAGTGCCCAGACCCAGAGTTTAAGCCCTGTGACCAGCAAAAACAAAAAAGACAGAAAGAAAGAAAAAAGAAAAGAAATGAGGCTTCTTTGAAAATATTTTCTACATGTACATTTGCTTGGGCTATTACAGTTTTGATCGTCTGGTACCCAATGAGAAGAACATTACCTACCCAGCTTGCCATATGTGTTTTCAGGTTTACAGAAACACCATATTTTTTGCTTCCAATATTATTAGGCAGAGGGCTGTTTGAAGTAGTATACTATGGCAAAGGCATTGCTTGGCTCTCAGAGTGAGGTCAGTAGATGCTGACCATTGAGTCTTGACTCAGAATATTTGCATGAGAAAGAAATGTGATGGGAACCTGTACTCTGATATGTTTATCTCAGGAAACTTACCAGCACAGTTTAAAGTTGTTAAAAACAGTATGATGTTGCTACCTTGAGATTTCTGTTTTTAACAAATTTAAATAAACAGTTTTTAGAATACCTTCAGATTTGCAGAAATATACAAGAAGATAATCTAGAGTCTCCTTATTTTTTTACCCATTCCCCTATTGTTAGTATCTTCTATTTATTATAATTATACAAAATTGATACCTTTTTACTAACCAAAGTCTATATTTTACTCAGTTATCTTTAGCTTTTAAAGGTCCATCCATGTATCTAACATAAGCATGATACATTTGTTATAATTAATCAAATTGGCATTATTATTTTTTTTTAGGGTTTTTTCTGATCTGGTTAGAGAGATTTTATTTTATTTATTTATTTATTTATTTGTCCGGTTGTGGGGCCTGAACTCTGGGCCTGGGCACTGTCCTTCAGCTCAAGGCTAGTGCCCTACCACTTGAGCCACAGCGCCACTTCCGGCTTTTTTTCTTTTTGCTTATGTGGTGCTGAGGAATCGAACCCAGGGCCTCAGGCATGCAAGGCAAGCACTCTACCACTGAGCCAACTTCCCAGCCCCTCAAATTGGCATTATTAACTCAATTCTCTTACTAAGTTATCTTTAGCTTTTTTGTTTGT